CAAGGAGCTGCAATTCTATTTTCTTCGAGCTCCTATTTTCCTTCTGTTATCCAGGTAGTTGATAGATCCTTGAGTAGTGACACTAATAATCACAATAACATTTATTTACACCATCAAGTGCTCTGTACTGTCCCACTAAATTTGTCAACATACATTATCCTGTATGATCCTTATAAAAGTCCTATGAGGTAGACATGAGAATTTTATACAGGACTGGAGGCAAAGTACTACACTGAAGTAAGGTTCTGTATCTTCAGACTGAGCTTTAGTTTTGTCCTTTACCTATGTAACCTTGCCAAGATCAACATGTGAAAGATCTAGTTTCCTTAGTAAAATACAGTGAAGAAAATATATTTTTTAAATTTCATGTTAAATTCATTTATTTATTTATTTTGGTACCAGGGATTGAACTCTGGTCCTTACACTTGCGCAGCAGGCAGCAACTAAATTTATTTTTTAAAAACAACTTTTTCCTGCTCCACACTTCAATTTGTTTACAGTCCTACAAGGACCTTGGTATATGTGGGGATCTCAGTAGTGATTTTACCTTGTGAAGGTCCATGGCCATGCCTCCTGTACCCGAAGGCTTTGGTTCACCCCATGGTGGTCCATTATCAGCTCAGGATTATCACACTGGTTTTCAGTACACTCCTTAACTCTGGCCTCTAGGGGATTCCCTTACTATCTCAGTCATATATTTTGAAGGATATTCATTATATTTTATTCATTATCACTAGAAATTTTATAGAGGAAGGGTTTTCAAGTAATCTAGGCTGCCAAAATACCAGAAAAGGAGGTCTCTGGCAGAAGCAGTCATAGAAGTCTAAGATCTATAGTCAGTATGACGAAAGCAAGAAAGCAAGTTTCTTTTCTTTTCTTTCTTTTCTTTTCTTTTCTTTTTGCAGTATTAGGGATTGAACCAGGACCTTCACATTGAGCTACACTCCCAGCCCTTTTGAAAATTAATTAATTATTTAAGGGTGTGTGTGTGTGTGTGTGTGTGTGTGTGTGTGTTTAAATTGTGAGACAGGGTATTGCTAAGTCGCTAAGTTGCCCAGACTAGGCTTGAACTTGTGATCTTCCTGCCTCGCACCTACCAAATCTATGCGATTAAAAAGAAGCTTGCACATCTTGGTCTGGACACTATGTAAAAGAAAATACATTGCCTAAGAATTTGTTATGATGACTTTTCCCTCACGTGGATTTGGTGTTTAAATTTTTATTTATCTTATTTCATACCTCTTCAAGATAAGAAATTAGTATTAAAAATGTACCTAGTAGAAGAACCATAGATAAGAATCCCACCAAAGATCTCATCACAAGGAAAGAATCCACCATGTCTTCAGAATTAATAAATAGCATAATTAGTTCTTCCAAGAATGACAGAATAAATCACAGGATTACTGAATACTACTGCAGCCAGATTCTAGCACTGTGAATGTAGTAGTATCTCCTTGTATTCACATTCTCTCCCCTAAGCATGAGCATAATGCGTAGCTTGCTTCTGATCAACAGAATACAGCAATGGTGATGATTTGCAGGTATTATGTGTACGTTTCATAAGTCATAATGTGTGTCTTGCTGCACACTCTCCCTCCTGCTGGCTGGTAGAGCAAGCAGCCTTGTTGGGAGCTGCCCATGTGGCACAGAGCTGAGGGTGGCCTCTAGCTCAAAGACAACAAAAAACTTAGGCCCTCAGCCTGGTGCCCTTCCAGGAACTGATGCTGCTGACAGCCACATGGACACTGAAACGGCCCCAAGCAAGAAACCAGCCCAACTTTGGATATGGCCATGCAGAGGACCCAGCCAGCCTGTACCCAGAACCCTGTCCCACATAAACCGTGAGAAAATACATGTGTGTTGTTTTAAGGTACACTGCGGGGGGGGGGGGTGTTACTGGGGATTGAACTCCGGTCCTTGCGCTTGCAGGGCAGGCAGCGGAACCACCGAGCTAAATTCCCAGCCCTTAAGCTACATTTGTGAAAACACTGTTATGCAGGAATAGATAACACAGCTACAGACTCTAATGTATGTGTGGAATAATTAAAGACACAAAAGACAAAATTTAAAAGGGAGAAAAAAGCAAGACAAAAGGAAAAACACCAGGAAGATATGTAAAACACAAATATAATGTTGAATAATAACATAACTCCTAAAATGGCTGAAGTGAAAAGCCAAATGAAATCTGCAAAATCTGAAAAAAATATATTAAAGAATATGAAAAAAATATATTAAGTGGAAAATTGACCCCAAATTTATGTATTTCAATTTACAACATACACCACAGATATTAAAAGATGGAGGAACTTGAAAGAGAAGCTCAGAAAGACATGGGATGTATTTGAAAGCACCAGCATTGACCAGACAGGAAATCCAGAAGGACAGAATACAGAAAATGGAGAAGTAGAAAGAGTGAAAGAAATAACAACTAAAGATTTTCCAGAACTGATGAAAAGGATGGTTTCCAGATTGTAGAAGCAACCACAGAAAGCATTGATGGCTGGGTCTGTTTCATTCTGTCTTGTTCTTTCTTGCCAAAGCAAGGGGTAAAAAAGGTCTAGAAGCCAGGCGTGGTGGCACAAACCAATAGACACAGCACTCTGGAAGGCTGAGGCAGGAGGGTCACAAGTTTGAGCCTAGCCTTGGCAACCTAATGACTCAATGAAACCTTATCTTAAAAAAAAAACTAAGAAGGACTAAGGATGTAGCTCAGTGTGAAGGCTCCGGGTTCAATTCTTAGTACTAGAAAAAAAAATATAGAATGTAGAATCTAGTCTCCAAATCTTAGCTGTGTTATACAGTACTCTTCTAATTGTGCATTATCCTCTCTTGAAGCCATACAGTGAAATCTTCAGTGTATGACCAAGACAGCAGTTGAAACTCCTGGACTCTGCAGTATACAAAACCACTTTTACTGACCTCCCCCATCCAGTCTGCTTATAAATATCTTTACAATATTTCATGGGGCAATAAGACTTCAGGACACGTGTGCAGAAAATAATGTAAGTCCCTTGGAGTCAATTCTTGGTCTGCTATCATACAACTTGGTGGCTGTATGAAAATGAAAGAAAAGTTCATACCGACTCTAACATACTACCAGCTGCCAGTCGCATTATCAACCCTTCAAAATCTATCTTGTATATGCGCCCTCAAAGAAAACCATATACTATTTCTGATGTAAAGAAATAAATAATATTTCATATGGTGAAACAAACCTATGGGATTATGATTTTAGAGGCAATTGCTCTATCCGGAGACAGAATCTCTGGATAAGTGAAGGATAAACCAATTTAGACAACTGTTCCTTTTTCTCTAAATAAATAAATAAATAAATGTAAAATAGCTAGAGATATAAGAAGAAAATGAATAAAAAATGCACATGAATTTGTTCCTTTGATTTCTCTGTTCATTCTTAAAAGCAAGTGCCTCCATTGCTCCCCTTCTGCCACCCTGCAATGACTCTCCCACAGAACCTAGGGGAAAAGCTGATAAACCTTGATAATCTCCAAACAGAATAATCCATCTCAAAATAACCCAAACTGTGTCCGGTTTTATAACCATTTACAGTTAGTTTAATGATACCATTACTAAGAATTAATAAGTCTACCAAGCTCAAATAGAATTTTCTTTTTTTTTTACAAGTGCATGGAAATCTGGTAATTATTACCAATGATAACAAAAAAAAGTTCCAATTCATTAAGCAGCTGAAGATTTTTGGAGGAGTAGTCTTTGTAGTAGTAAAAACATAATAAAAATAATGGATGGTACTATAGTAGACAGGGCCAATAGGTTAGGAGAAGGAGGATAAACAGTGAATTGCAGGTAAAGGATTAACAAGCAGAACAGTCAACTGTGTGGTCTCAGAAAATGGTACTGGTAAATCAGAGATTAATTTCATGGAGACATCTGGGCTGTATGGGAGCTGAAGCCCTTATTCTCACAGTAAAAAGTACAAAGCTCTGTCACTGATTTACAAAGCAGTTATTCATGCCAGAGTCAGGGCGGTGGAAGTAACAACAGATATCCACACTACAGTCTGATGTCCTGAATAAGATGATAACATAATAAATAAAGCAACGAAGCTAGTTTCTTTAGCAGTGTTTGGGGGGAGGTCTGTTGGAATGGGTCGTTCTGGTTTATAAGAATCACTTAAGTGATCAGATGATACAGAAGTGATTAGCATTTTCTAGGCTTGGAGACCCCTCTCTATAAAAGATCAGAAGAGCCTAAGAATAAAAAACTGCAAAGATAAGTCAGCCAGAGCCATAATTCTGTTCCCTTTTTTTCCTCCTCCCAAAAGAGGCCACTCTCTGTGTTCCCTTCTACAGGGAATCTTCTGTTCTTCCTCCTCTATTTTGCTTCAGGGTGGTCTTGAAACATTCTCTCCTCCACCCTCTGAATATCTGCCTCATATGGTGTGTAGCACGGAAGCCCAGGTGCCGCACAAGGCCTGCACACACAGCCAGTCAGCAGCAGCCCTGAGCATAATGTGTAGCTTGCTTCTGATCAACAGAATACAGCAATGGTGATGATCTGCAGGTATTATGTGTATGTTTCATAAGTCGTAATGCGTGTCTTGCTGCCACTCTCTCCCTCCTGCTGGCTTGTAGAGCAACAGCTGATGTCTACAGCAGGCTCAGTGGTCAGCGCTGCTGCTCCCAGTCGCTCCAGTGATTCCTCACAAGTCCACTCAGGCACCCACAGCCAAACCAAAAAGGTTTAAGTCTGTGGGTGCGAGGGAAGATGAAATGTTCTTTATTGAAACAAGTAGTTGGCAGCAAAGAGAAAACAGAGCAAACCAAATCAAATAGATAAAACTGAAAATCCACAAATCAGATTTTAGAACAATATTTTCTGCTGACAAAGTAATCCCAAGGCAGTAAGTTAATTGCTGCCTTTTTGCCTACAATCTCAGCTTTCTGTTGTATAAGACTAAACACAATATTCATTTCACTGTGCACTTAGAGCTTCACACAGAACCAACATTATTTACTACTTACTTGCGCTTGTTTGCATACTTTAAAAGGCTGAAGTGTTTCTTGGTAGAAAAGCTGATGATAAGCCTGTAGGTCAAACCAAAAGTACACACTGTTCTTCCACAACTGCAGATGGGAAAAGTACATAATTACCACCACCCAATTATTAAAGTTCTACAAAGCTCTAATTTCAAATATAAATAATTGTTTAGCTCCTTGCTGTTAACACAAATCTGGTTCCATTTAAGATGATTTTAATCTCCTATCACTGAATGACAATATACAAAATATTTTTTGGCATTGTCACTAGAAAATTATATTTTTGCATGTGTGCATAATTGGCCATTAAAATAGTAAGTGTTCTAGTTAATGGTTAGAGTAACCACATGAGGCCAAAATCTGAAGGTATTTCAATATATATGGAGAAATGTATATCATAATGGAACCAAACATGTTTGAGCCACTTAAATACTTTTCATTTAAGCCAAATAAATAATTTGTGATTTTTTTTAAAAACTGGAAATAATTTTGCCTCTATTCATTGTAATTTTTAGAATAAAAAAGTCTTGTCAGAAATCAAATCTAAATTTAAAATATATTACATTAAGATAAAATTATATGAAAATAAATTGTTGTTAGCAATACAAGTCAAACCTTTATCTGTATTTTACTTTTCTTTGTAATTTTAGTAAGATAATGAACCAAAAGAATTATAATTGTGATGTTTAAATTTGTAATTTTTTAAATATCAAGTATATTAGTTTTCTAATCACAGAAGGAAATGTTAGCCTCAAATACAACTATCTGAAGCACTGAATTATTTTTATTTTTTTATTTTTTTGGTATCAAGGATCGAACTCTGGACCTTGTGCTTGTGAGGCAAGCGCAAACACTACTTATTTTTAAATGAAGGCTAATTATAAAATTAAATCTTAAATAATTATTTTCTACCTTGTTCCCTGAATCCTCACAGAATTTAGTAAAGAAGAATCCAGCTCTACTTTCTACATACAAAGACTGCAACAAATTTTCCATGTGAAATCCTCCAAAGGCACCAACATCTGACATGGTTTTAACCTATATAACAGAACAGAAGTCCATTACCCAACCCAAAACATTATCATTTTTACAGAATTGTACAGATGGGCTTCATAAATTCTGCCAGCCTGTCATTTTCCCACCAGACTATTTTATTTGTGTACCATATATGTAATTAATGCAGTATGTTTCCATCTGACTGTCATATAAGATTCATTTATGGAGCCCAATTACAGCAGCAGAATTCTTTCTATTATGAACCAAACTGGTTTCAAACTTGATGTTAAAGTGACTTCCCAAATTCAATTATTTTCATGTTTCAGGCACAGTGGTACCATTGGAGGAGTCTTACAAACCTCTGTTGGTGGCCTTTTTCCTACATATTTACAGTTGTTTTAGCCTTGAGGTGCTGCTATTATAGATACCACAGTCATAAAAAGAACTATCTTCAAGGCCTCTCAGTGCTGCTCATTAACTGTCTTTAGGGGGTCCCTCTCTGGACGGTTTCACCCCATGTAGGTCATGGCCTGTGGAGTGTAAATGGTAGTATAAGTTCTCATAAAAGTCTGTTGTTTATGACTTCTCTGCCAACAATGCTAGCAATCTTAACACTACCCTTCAAACACAGAAAGCCGACTATTCCTCCAAGTGCAAGAGTGAGTCCAAAATATGAAAGGGTATCTACTGTGCACATGAACTCTTTGGTATTTGTTTTGTGGAATTCAGACTTCTTTGTAATCCTTAAAACAACTGGCCTGAACAATTTAGGGTTTAGGTCAGCCTCTTGTTCTCTCTTTGTCATACCCTCCGCCTTTTGCTGCCTGCTAAACAAATTCTAAAGTGAAAATTTAATGTTCTTATGATGCTTAACTGTCAGCACTCCAAACTGGAAAATCACTGTGTTAGTAGGGAAAAATCCTAATTAGAAGAAAAGAGAACTATTTGCTTATGATAAATAAATCATAAAAATTTACAGCTAAATGTTGACTGTATGGGTCTGCTGAGGTTTCTACTTAGAGTGTAATCCTTGGGAAATGTGAAATTTTCATCTAGAAATGATATATTAAATCCACATTATTAAGGTAGCTGAAATCTGAAAATGGCCTGCTTTTTAAAATTTCCAGATTTCAAAAACATAACATCAAATATTATTTTTACAAAGTGTTTAAAATTTAGCAAAAATATTAGAGGGTCTTATTTAGTGTCTGAGATATTATACCAAAACCAGAACACAATTGTTTTTGAAAAAAAGCAATCAACACAGTATTAGGCATCATGATATTATAAAGGGAAACACAGAGGAAGTTTTGATGCAAAAATCCTTTTGCCTGGAAATAGAATGTGTTCCTTAGAGAAAAAAAATGAGTCAACAAAAAGTTTAAAATCAGGGATTTTGATCAGTTCAATGAGGAATAAGGTTATTTCAGTCTTCAAAATACTTACTTTAGGTTCTTCTGTGTAAGTGTATCTCCTGTCTAGCTGGGGCTTCAGACATTCAGAAATGTCAGTAAAAGATATTAAACGAATAATTCTGCTGCTTTCAGACAGGTGCCTTGTCCTAGATTATAGACAGGAGAACTAATTAATTGATCAAGAGACACATTTTGGCATCAAAGAAGCTCCTCAAAAGGATAAGAGATCTATGAAAAGCATATAGCTAACATCACTCTTAATGGTGGAAAGCTAAGCATTCCCTGGTATTGGGAACAAGACAAGGATGTCTTCTGTCTCCATTTTTTTGTTTGGTTGGTTGGTTGGCTGGTTGGTTTTTGAGACAGGGTCTTGTTAGGCTGACCTCAAGCTCACAGCTATCTTCCAGCCTCAGTCTCCTGAGTGCTGGAGATAACAGGCATGCACCAACATGCCCGGTTCTGTCTTCAGTTCTATTCAACACTGTGCTAATGAATTAGACAATAAAAAGAAATAAAAAGTACGCATGACTGAAATGAAATTGAAAGCTGTCTTTATTCTCAGAGATATATAGAATCCACTAAAAACTACTAGAGTTATTAAGTTCAGTAATATCCCACAGTGCAAGATAAATAAGCAAAATTCAATTATATTTATGTATGCTAGCAATTGACAGTCCAAAAATAGTATTAAGAAAACATTTCCATTCATAGTAGCTTCAAAAAGAAACACACAGAGATATCATCTTTTTAAAATTACTAATATCTGATATTCTATTCCTAATTTACAGTATGTATAATAAGAATAAGCCTTTAATACATACCACTGGGATACAAGAACCCGCAAAAATTGTTTTCAATTTTTATTTAATTTTCAAGTTCTTCAAATATCTTAACAATTGCAGAGAGCACTTCCCACATCCAAGTGACACCTACCCTCTCTCGGTCCCAGGATCCCTTGAGGGAGCTACACACAAAGATTCAGTCTTCCAAAGTTTTTGAGCTGCTGTTTTGACTCTAGGTGTTTTCTTGAGAGATTTGGTATGTTGTACTGAAATGAATTCCTCTTTCTAAAAAGTAGGAAGATAATAAAATGAAAAATGAGCAAAATGGAAAAAGGAAAATCAAGCACTATTATGTATATGCACCTCAAATTTGTTTTGATCACTAGAATATTTCCTCCCTTGCTCTATCTCTTACCATGTTTCCCACTAAAACAGAAATTCTCTCCTTCCCCAAATTTCAGTTTTATGATCCAGCAGAGGGAAATTCAACAATTTAGATAAGAGAAGAAGAACCAAAGGCTTCTATGTCCCAATTTCCACCACTATCAAACAAAACTCTTTCTTGGAGGAAGAATTTAACAGAAACTCCCCTTTATTCTATAACTGAATAGATTTTGGGTGGGGGATATTCTGGGGCAAGAGAAGTGAAACAAAGATACCCTTGGCCCATAAGAAGGGATCTATAACCAAATTTCTTTCCATTTGGGGACATTTAATTCTCATGGCTATTTTTCTCCATTTTAAAAAGTTCTTTATGTTGTAAAAGTTAAACTATTTAAATCTAGAATATAAGACGGTATGTGCATGAAGTAAAAAGTATAAAAAACTAAAAGTCCAAGTGGAGGGAAAGAAAATAATTATCTAACTATGGGATATGCACAAATGTAACATTATATAATACTTTAAAATAGTGGTTATGAAAAGGATGTACATGGAAAAATATTGATGACGAAGTTAAAAGAAAATCAGAATACAAAAAGAGAAGTGCACTAAAATTTTAAAAATCACAAGAAGCCTAAGAGAAAATAAATTAGTAGTTGTATAGAAGGTAGTGAGATCAGAAGTGATTTTTATCTCACCAGTTTCCAAATTGACAGTAGTTTTACTATTTATGTAACTTGAAAAAAAAAGCCTTTCTATATGTCAACTTCCATTAGAGTGTTATATATGTTGACAAAGGAAAGGATTACATTTGTGTTTTACTATCCAGAACAAACAATAAAATCTATGTGTACTTTACATACCTAATGAGTAATAATTTTTAAGAATTCTATAAAAAAATTAATTACTTAAGTATGTTGTACTTATAACTTTCTAGGTATTCAAGCTCACATCTGTTTTAGTAATTCAGTAATTTAGTAATTCAGTAAGACATTAAACAATACTCCATAAATGACAGGTACCACAGGAGGCTGAGCCTATAATTATATGTATAAAGTATATCACACAAAAATAGTAAAAAAATTTTTTTGTTGTTGTTTTTTTGAGACAGAGTCTCACTCTGTAGTTCAGAAGTCCTTGAACTCACTATGTAACCTAGCCTGGCCTCGAACTTGTGACAATCCTCCTGCCTCAGCCTCCCAGAATGCTGGGATTACAGACATGTACCACCACACAGGGCCACAGAAGTAGTCAAATTTATAGGAAGGAAAAATAAAATGGTGGTTTCTAGGGCGTATGAAGAGAGAGAGAGAAAAAGATTTGTTGTTTAATGGTATAGAGATTTACAAGATGAAAAATTTCTGGAGATCTTTCATAAAATTATGGACATGTTTAACACTTCTGAAGTGCACACTTAAAGATGGTCAGGATGGTAAATTTTATGTGTTTTCTGCCACAATAAATTTTTTTTCTTTAAAAAATTGTTCAAATGTATCATACAGAGAAAAGCCTAATTTAGAGTTTTTAAGCTTGCTAGCTTGAGTGGAAGCTAAGAGACTATGCAGAAAGTAAGTTAAGGGGAGAGACAGATGACAAAAAAGGCACAATAGAACTGAGGAGGCTAGAGTTAAAATAATTGCTCTATATCATGACTGTGATGGTAGTTATACATTGTATCCATTTAACTATATATTAAAAAGGGCATACTTTATTGTTTTTTTAATTTTTTAAATGGGAAAAATAAAATGGCATAAATTCTATTTCTTAGAGTGTTTTCTGCAAAGGAGAGACAGAGTAAGATCGGAATATACTGTCCAAGGAGAAAACATCAATAACAACATAGGGTGATGACGATTCTCAGGAAGGCAAAGATAAGAAACAAGTCATGTTTATACCACTTTTTCATACAAGCTAACCTTTCTCCATTCCTTTGGAACTATTCACTTATTCAAGTTCTTTTTCTTAACCACATCACTGATTTTCTCTTCCCCTCTCGGTTTGATGTTTTTTATACAAATGTTTACATGTTGTCAGACCATATGGTCCCTGCACTATGTCTCCGAGATGTGTGTTCACCTGGTGACTGGGTCACTAAGACACATGGACCAGCCAGGAGGACTAGATTAATCAGCTAGGTGACACACAACAAGAACACAAGGTGCCAAGGAGGTCAGGGAGAAGGAAACACCGGCACACTGAGGGGACACAGAGGTGCAGATCCCAGAGCAACAGCAGGATGATCACCAGTGAGGGGCTGGCTGGAATGCAACCCCTTGCTCCTCACCAGGACCCGCTAAAGCCTCTTCTCTGGCAGAGCCCAGGAATCTGCATGAACAAGTACTTTGGGTGACAGCTATGAATGGTAAAGCTTGAGACTCATCAGCTAGTAACAGGGCTTCCCATGTGGAGCATCTGGGAATCTTATTAAAGTGCAGATTCTGAATCGTGGCTCTAATGTTCAGGCAGGGTTGAGAACCTATGTTCAAAGCCACCTCCTTGATTCTCAGAGTGACCCTGAACCATTCCAGATGAATCAAGTCAGGATCTCTGAAGGTGGGACCCAGGCATTGGTATGTTTTAAAAGTTCTCATGACTTTGATGTGCATCTAGAATTCAAAAACTACTGACAGAAAAATTGTAATGTGTTTCCAGCAGTGTGTGCAGAAGTAAAATTTTTAAAATTATATTGCATATTTTGCCTTTTAAAATAAGGCACCCTGAATACACAGAATTCTTTTGAAAAGGTTGTGTGTAATTATGGCCAGTAACAGCATTCTACTGTATCCTTAAAGGCAATTAAGATTACTTAAGATCTTTACTACCAAAATACAGGTCTTACTTATAGTTATTTCATCCCTATGCCAAAATACGTAGGGTTATTGATTAATTCTTTATAAAGTTAATTAACTTTTATTCTCTTTGGATTTTTTCTCTTTCATTTTTGTGCCCTGGAGTTTTTGCTTGTTGTGTTCAAAGAGGAGCAAAGGGATCAGTGTAGCTGGGTGGAGTAGGTTACAGTGGTAGGAAACAAAGTGAAGAGGATGACGGGCCTGTACAGCTTGATAGAGACTTCGGATTTTATTCTGAGTGGAAGAGGAAGCCACTGGAGAATCCTGAGCAGATGAGTGACATGAGCATGTGCTTAGTGGAGAACAGACTTGGTTTTCTTTTTTCCTAAATGTGGTAGCATGTACATTAGTTAATCACAAAGCTTTCAATGAAACTAAGTATTAGTGGACACTCAAACATGGACACTGAACTGTACACTTAATAGAGATCAAAGCATCAGTTGTATGCCTTACCTGGATCTCAGATATCTGTGGATTGCAAGATTTAGGTCTTAATGGCAAGAGAGTTGCCATTTGTGGAAAAGGGTCAATGTCCTTCCTTGGTTTCTCCTGACGGAGATGCCAGAATTTCAGTTCCGCACTAGCACTTTTTGTTGAGGATAAATGAGTAATACAAAATCTTGGTGCCCTGTTTATTAGAAAAACAAATTTCTGGTTAAAGATAATAAGGTTAAACTTAATAAGCCTCAAAAATCAAAAGTCTACCAAATATATAACAGCTTTGCTCACAATTATCAATATTGATATATCCCTTTTCTAATAATTTCTATTTCTTTTTCTGCTTCCTAGTCTTTAGAAATGCTTTTCTGTATCTCACTGCCAGCAGTTCCTTTTACTCAGACATAAAAGCAATATACATTAGGGAAAAAAATCATAAATCATGTTTAAATTATTATCTGCTTGGTAAGAAAAAGAAACATAAAACATATAACTAGAGATAGATACATGGATGAAGGAATTTTTAAAATAGCTTAATTTCTACTAAAATAAACAATATTCTCTAATCATTTTAAAGCAATTTAGTATTTATCTAAGTACCAAATATAAATTGGTAGAATGAAATTAGTATTTTAAAAATATATAAACATTTTATAATGCCCAAGTATACTACTAAAGTAGGTTATGATTCATATTATCTATTTCAAGTCTTAAATTAGAAGGTAGGAATTAATTTTATAATAATTTACAATAAGTGAAAAGTGAACTCCACTGCAGAAACTTAGGAGAAAGAATATTTGGCACAATATCAAGGCCATGCTTAATTGAATGGATATCCTGGCACTCAATCTGTGGGTTAACTCTTCGGTTTATTGTATATAAGGTTAATGCCAGCTGTCAAGGCCTACAGCTAATTGGTTCTTGGATCAGGCTTTCCCTCTAGATGCCACAGCCCAAGGACTAATTGCTCTTCTGTAGTACAAGATCTGGTAGAAAATCACGTCCCTTTAAAACAGAAAGAAGGTAGATATCTTCTGAATGCAAACATAGGTTACGGCAGGAAAAGAATCCAAAGCCCATAATTAATTTAGGATCAGAAAACATCCTGTGCAGTCTGAATGGTTATTCTATCCTATATTTCTGAACTTCTTTTTTTTTACTTAAATTTTTTTATTGGTACATTTTAGGTATACAACACATTTACATTTCTCATTGGGAACATGTACCTTTACACGATGCATCTTGGTTCTTCGTTTTTCCCCCATTAACTTTATTGGTTCATTTTAGGTATAAAATACAGTTACATTCATCATTGGGATCTTGTACCATTACATGAGTCTCTTGGTTCTCATTTTTTT